TTTTAATAAAATTCTTTTTTTTTTTTTTTTTTTTTTTTTCTTTCTCTATGTCAGCTCTAAATGATCAAAAGAACTAAGAACAAGGGAGAGAGAGAGAGGGAAGAGAGGGAGATGTTTTTTTTTTTTTTTTTTTTTTTTTTGGAATGTGTACAAAAATCTGAAAGTTGAGATGAGGATGGGACTAGTCTGGTCGAGAGAGAGAGAGAGAGAGAGAGAGAGACGTACTGTGATGGAATGTAAGTGGGGAAGTTGTATGGAGCTAGTGGTTCTTTTGTGTGTTTGAAAGAGAGAATGGGAGGATTAAGAGGCGTCTGGGCGTGAGATTTAGATTGGAGAGAGGAATGAGTGTCGTCGAGGATGTTGGATTTTGAAGGTGAATGGGTTGTGAGATTTCATGTCGATTGAAGAGGGGAACGAGTGGTAGCGAGGATGTTGTGTCTTGAAGATGGGTGGCTTGTGAGATCCCACATTGGTTGGGGAGAAGAACGAGGGTTAGCGAGAACGTTGGACTTCGTAGGTGGGTGGATTCTAAGATCCTACATCAATTGGAGAGGGGAACAAGTATCAGTGAAGACGCTGGTGTTTGAAGATGGGTGGATTCTGAGATCCCATATCAATTGAAGAGAGAAACGAGTGTCAGCTAGGATGCTAGACCCTGAAAGTGGGTAGACATGAGATCTTACATTGACTACAGAGAGGAACGAGTGTGAATGAAAACACTGGATTTCGAAAGAAGTGGATTGTAAGATCCCACCTGACAATTAAACATTTTTTTATAAGGGTGTAGAAATCTCTCCCTATCATATGAGTTCTTTTAAAGACTTTGAGAGAAAATCTGAAGGAGGAAGATGAGTAGGGCAAAGGAAGTGGGGTTATGTTATGATTGAAGGATTGAGTGGGGGAGAATGGGAGACTAGAAAGGCTGAAACCCCTTTCTTTCTTAACCATATCCGCTTTCTATAGCGGACGAGTGGGGCGACATATTAATTCTGGAATGTTTAGGATCTTGTGAGAGTGGTATCACAACCCTTCCAAAACTATTATTCTAGAATCAAAATTTAGCGTTTTGTATTAGAAATGTCTATTTTAGGATCAGGGTTTTAATGGGACTCGGTCGAAGATTGCATTCTTTATACTGTCCCAACCCAATCTCTATCTCAGAGATGTTCATTTAACTCATATGATCAAGGGTCATACAAGAATCTCCCTCGATTAAAGAGCTAGAAATAAAATAAGATATTTCTCCGGCTAAACAGGGTTAGAACAAGGATTGCATTCTCCGTGCTGCCCCGACCCAATCCCAGTATATTTCATGTCGAGAATCCTCTCTCTGAGTCTTGCAAAAATAAATAAATAACATCGTTAGAATGAAAACAGGCAAGTTCTCTCCCGCCTAGCATTACCTCACCGTGCATTTTAGACATCTTTAATTGGAATCAACATGTGCATTATTTAGAGTAACTATTTGAGCTAATGATGCTTAAATGATTTTAAAAGTGGCTTATGGGATGAGAGCAGGGAGAGATGGGCCGCATGAGATGATAACTAAAAAGTGCCCCTTTATGAGGTTGGTTTGAAGTACCTATCATAGGTTTGGATCTCACCTTCCACTAGTGTTTTTTTTACTATGACTCAATTGATTATTACTTTTACTTTTAACGGTTCAAATTCATAATTTATTTTCACCGTTTTTACCTTTTTCTTCTTGGATTCGGGTGAAATTTCAAATAAATAATTTTGTTTGTGAAAAGTTAAAGCTGAAAATGTTCGTAAAAAGAACAACACTATAATTTAAGTTTCTTTAGAACTATGGAGCTTTCCATTTTGTTCACGATCGACTAATTATTATTATCATTTATTAAGCTCGTGAAAATAACTTGCAATAAAATATTTGTAGTATTAAGTTAAAAACGTCTTTAAAAAAGATTAAAAATGAGAAATAAGATTGGGATCGAATGTGAGTATTATAATTAATATTTATAATTTTAAATAGGATACAAGCTATCAACTAATATCATCTAATAAAAAAAATATAAATTAATTAAATATTAAGAATAAAATAAAATATATTATAAATTAAATAAGAAAAAAAAATATTAACTAATTACATATGTTCCATAAATAAAAGTAAAATTGAATAAATTTTTTTATTAAAACAAACAAAATTACTTTTCAAAAGAATTAATTTAAAAAGGAGGGGACACGTGGCTAGATATTATTGGTTGTAAACATGTGGTAGGCCCCACTAATTTCTTTTTTATTTGATTTTCTAATGGTATATATATATATATATAGATGTTGGAAAGAAACAAAAGGGATGGTTTCAACCTTTGTATCACTAATCACATCTTGTCTGGTTGAGAGGTTCTAAAGTCACAATCCATCTGCTACTACAAACGGGGGAATGGACGGACAGATCTTTCCCCCTTTACAACTTTTTTTTTAATTGATTTATTTTTATTTTAATATTATCGTTGTCGGGAATAGCTTACTTTTGTGCATGCACCAAAAATTATATATAAGTAAAATATCAAATCTCCCGTGAGTTTTGTAATCTGCAACGGTTTTGGTGACTCTCCGACATGTCGTCTATTATTGTAATGTCGTTTTACGTCAATTATGTTGGCTGACACCAATTTTTTTTTTTTTTTTTTTTTTTTTTTTTTTTTTTTTTTTTTTTTTTTTTTT